TGACCCATGATAAGTGTGAGATGTTTTTATCTTTATCAAAGCAATTAAATGTTTTGATTTCATTTACTGTTTGAGACATACTATAAAAAATAAAAATTACTAAACTTGACTATATGTATCTAATATCTTCAGATGTCGCACATATGTTTGGAATATACTTAATATATTTCGATATACAACATATTTTGCGTTGATATATGTAAGTCATCATCAATCATCATACAGCATATACCCTTAATTTGTACATTTATTCATACAAAGTTTGAGAAGAGGAAACTGAAACAGTTTTTGCTCGATAAATGGCGCTGCATGGCTGTTTGCCATTAGTATAATACAACGGGCATGGCTAGAGCTACAAATACTTTCAATGTTCACTCCCACGCCCACGCCCACTTCCCATTAGAATTTGGTTTGTGTGTGTTTATCGAAATTGTTGTTGTATGCAAGGAGTCAGTCAAATGCCAACAAAAACTACAACAACTTTCAGCTAATATAGGGATACAAAATATGCGAAGATATGTCAGAACGCCAAAGCAGCGCAGGAAAATAAAAGGGCAACAAAAACAGCAACTGCGACAACAACAACATCAGCAACAACAACAACAACAACAACAATGGCAAATAACGTGGGCGAGTGCCAGGAAAAGGCCTAAAGAAAATCGATAAAAAAACCTCGCACACATTTCACTGTTACCAGGGCCAAGAGAAAGACAGCGGTAGGCAGGTCTGGAGTGTGGGCTGGCTTGAATGTTTATGGCCTGGTCAGGACTAGTTGGCAGAATGTGTGGCATTGTTGGCGCTGTTGCAGCTGTTGGCCGCATTTTAGATGGCTTCTAGAAGCATTTTGGCATTTGCCACTGTATCCTTTCGATTCGTTGTTATTGTTTCAACCACTATTGTCAGTGCCTGAATGAGCAAGTATGGATTTCTTTTCGGCGGTTACACAATCGACACTGCCTTTAACATGCACTTTAAGAGTAACTTTTACTCGAGATCCGCTGCTAATTGGCTTTAAAACTCTTTAAAGAGAATCCGAGAATGCGGAAGTGGAGCCAAAGACTTTCGCACAGCATTTATGGCAGCTTATGTCAGGTGGGTGGTCGTGGGGCTGGGGCGTGTCGGACACATCCGACTGCACACGGTCACGCCACCAAGACGCAAACGCTCGGCACTCTTTAAAAAACCGCAGTTGCGGCAATTTGTGGAAGTGGCAGGCGCCGTTGGTTCTGCAGCAGCGTTTTGGGCCATTAAACTGCAGGACTGGGGCTCTTCTTCTTCTCTGTTGTGTATCTGCGTCATAACTAAATTGATTGGTCTGATTGGCCATTGTGAGCAGCTGGCACTCAAGAAGATCCTATTTGCAAATGTATACCAGTTTAATGGGTCTTCTAACTCATGAAGAGGCAAGCGAAACGGTTTGCTCCTTTGCATTAGGTTAATTGCTTAAAGAAATAAATCATATCTCATCAGAAATTCAAAACATAGCATCAACTCCCGCTCTTTGGCTTCTTTTATTAAATATTTTATTACTTTTGTTGTTTGTCTAAATATTTTATAATATCATCAATATTTGCAGCTTTGACTGACCTTCGATAAAGACAAATTTCGTACCCCAAGCAGCTTTTTGGCTTTGCTGTATAGGATTGGTTTCAAACCCCCTTTCTTATATGATAAGTTTAGCTGTAATTTAATTTAATTCAAGATCATTCATGTTGTCTTTAACAAATTTTCGGTAAAAGATTAAACTGACAATATCTGATATACAAACAGAGATACATAATGGGAGTCACTTGATAGTTTAAGACAAGTATCCTAGATTACATATATTAAAACTCTAGTATATTTTCCAAACATCAAATCTCTAGTTTTAAAACCGAAATTAATTGTGGACGAACGGACTGGAAGACGGACTTTGCAGAAGACCAATATACTCTTTTCATTACATGCATGAATACAATAATTGATATAAATTGTTTCCTTAAATTTGTCCCATTTTGTATAGTTTTAGGAAAATACTAAAAATACTGCAAATTGTATAACTAACTTTCAATTTGCGAGCTACTTATCGTGTGGAAATTTTCTGCCACACCATTTCACCACCAATTTAGAATAACCTTAAAGGGATACAGAGCTCATGTGGTTTCCTTAACAACCTCTGGATGAGCTTGATATTTGAAGTTCAAGACTTTGCTTAGGCTCAAATCGGTTTTGCGGCCCCAAAGAGACTTCTGGGTGTGAGCATTCGAGAATGAAATTGACCCAGTTTCTCACTGATGACCATAACAACAAGAATATTCACAGCAATAACAAGAGCAGCAAGAAGTTTTTTTTTTATCATCTTTGTGGCCGTGTTACGTAGGCGTCGTTGTCTTTCCGTCTTCCCGGCTTCTGTGCTGCATTGATTACCTTGTCCAGATTACGTCAGCGGCGTATTGACTACTGATGACTACGGCCATACATACCTGACGTGGAAAGGGAAAGACTGACGTCAACGGCGGATGAGATTATGATTCTCTGTTTCATTAGATGCCAGCGTCGATTAAGTTAACTTAATGAAAAGACAACCGGTGACCCGTGGCGTATACGTAATCTTAAAGCAAGGCTATCTCTGAGGAGACTTCTTGCGCTACAGCAATTTACTGCGAACATGTTTCTGTATGCGATACGAGCATTTGCATAACAATAACAAACCAGGAAACTCGGCTTTAATATAGGGCGTAAGTAACTTGCGTGCGTCTTTTGCCAAATTTAGATTTCCTTTTGGGCATTGCTCTGCTCGATTATCAAAGCAATTACGTCTGTGTGGCTGAGCGAGTAGCCAAACAACGGCAATAACAATTAAGTACATTCAGAATAGCACGAAGTGCCAGCGGACGACACCGTGTTGGCCAAAGGCCCGCGCCTGCCCCAAGTTGCCCCAAGTTGGCTCACCTCAACTGGCCTTTTCATTTTGGCAAACAGCCCTGACATTTAACTGGCGCTCGACTCGTGCAGCTGTTGGTGCTGCTGCTCCTGCTACTGCTCCTGCTGCGGCTCCTGCTGTCGCGTTGGCCAGGCGACGTAACTCAGTCCAGTAATTACCTGGTAAAATTTTCATTATTGCCGCAGATTTATCAGCGGAACGCCCTCGACTAATTGCTGCAGTGATGTCGTTGTCGTACCTTGGCCAATAAATCAAATGGGCCACTGAGTGCAGCGCAGATCCGGCCGAAACACATAAACCCATTGAATTATTTTTGCAGGTCATTCAGCTGTGCCAAGACGAGAGACAGTTAATCAAGGCTGTAGCGACTCGAAGCACTAAAGCCGTGCAAATATATGATATATGTATCGAATATATATTGAAATAAGAGCGTTCTTTGCTATGAGAAATCACAGAAAGTGGTAATGTTATAGAGATGTCTGTATTGGCAAAAGACAAGTCTTTAGTATCTGATATATGATTTGTTTTAATTTGGTGAACGGGTCATTAAATACTAAATTCACATTTGCAATGGCTTCGTTATGAACAAAGTATTTTTTCTGCTTACGTAATTGTTTAGTGTAAATTCTCTTCTCCTGTCAAAACCTCTAGTTCTGGTCGCATATTCTGGTTCATAGCGAACCTGTGCGAAGGACATTACTAGCCGTCTCGCTTTCACTCAGCGACACCCGGGACCACGTTCAGCAACAGCTATAGTTGTCTCTCTCCTAGTGACAATACATTCTTTAAGTGCACTACAATACTAAATCAATCGATTAGCACGAATTGCCAGTCTTTCCCAATATTATTTCTGCATAATTAAATGTGTTAGGATAATTTATAAAATTCTTAGGAACTAAACTCTTAATGATTTCTTAATTAATTCCAGTGCACAATATGCAGTTGTTAATAATTGTGGGTAGTAAGGATATTTAACAATTAGATAGTAGATCTTTTGTGAATATACTGTATTGGTGTAAGTCAAATGTTTTTTTTTGTTCTTGAGCATACAAACTTAAGGTTATTATTAAAATAGGAAGTTGTTTCATTTCATTGAAGCTCATTTTTATGATTACTAACGGCATTTCTTTTTCTTTGTCCTATTTCAGGTCGTTCTCGTATTTATACTCAGCATTGCATCTCTCATTATATATTTTGTTGATGCATCTAGCGAGGAAGTTGAAAGATGCCAAAAATGGAGTAATAACATTACTCAACAGATCGATCTCGCATTCAATATATTTTTTATGGTTTACTTTTTTATACGAGTAAGTTCTACACGCAATGCTTATTTAATTAATTTATATATATATATATATATTTCTTAATTTTGTTACTGATCGCAATTCGATTGGCTAAGCCATTAGTTAATAATAATTATTTGTAATTTGATTTTGGAAAAATTGTAAAACTCGATTGTGTTCTTTTTATTAACAAATTTTTTCCAGTTCATAGCGGCGTCCGATAAGCTTTGGTTTATGTTAGAAATGTACAGTTTTGTAGATTATTTTACAATACCCCCGTCCTTCGTATCAATATATTTAGATCGAACGTGGATCGGTAAGCGCAACAAATCAATTACCTAAATTTATATGAATTCCCAACAACAATTTGATGCATACAAATCGGTTTCAATGTCGATGATTTTCATATTTCTATTATCCCCCTCCCACACACACACGTGCGCACATAACAGCGCGAACACACGTTACCGTTACCATTACCATTACCGTTAAAGTAATATTTAATTGAAATAGCTCTAAAAAAGTCTCTTTAAAGCGTGTCAGGATCGATTTGTATGCATGCAATGTGCTTTACTCAACACATACATACATATCCGCATATATATGTATATATAAACATATATATATGTATGTCTCTGTGTATGTGCGGAAATTATAATCTGTGTCCATATATATATGTGTATTATAAACAGGTCTTCGATTTCTTCGAGCGCTACGTCTCATGACTGTTCCAGATATTTTACAATATTTAAACGTACTAAAAACATCGAGCTCAATACGTTTGGCTCAACTAGTATCAATTTTTATATCCGTGTGGTTAACAGCAGCGGGCATTATACATCTGGTATGTAGACACACAAACACACACATACACACACACAAACTCTCAACAGAAAAACGCACACACACACTCACACTGTATTCAGCTATGCATGACGACCGTCTTCCAGCCGGCTCTGTGACAGCTTTGCAGCGCGTGTTTGAGCCAGTTAAAAAGATTACGTATACGCCGCGTGGCACGCTGTCACAGAGCACGAGTGTGGCAAGCTGACGCTGATAGCTGAGGAGGGCATGCGTGGCGTTTTTTTGCAGTGCCCCAAAAGGTTCCATTTGTGTTCAATATGAATAATCGCTGATGCGTATTTATTTGCAATTGATCGATTGCAATTGCATTTACTTAAAATTTAGCTGGAGAACTCTGGCGATCCGCTGGATTTTAATAATGCTCATCGTTTATCTTATTGGACCTGTGTCTATTTCCTAATTGTGACCATGTCAACGGTAGGATATGGTGACGTTTACTGTGAGACTGTCTTGGGAAGAACATTTCTCGTGTTCTTTCTGCTCGTCGGCTTGGTAAGTTGAACAACAAAATGCTGAAACACTGAAACAAATTACACATTAGCAACAAATATGTCAATGAATCCAAACTCTCTTTTAGCAAATATAGACAATGTTTCTCTCTCTCTCTCTCTCTCTATGTCTCCTTCTCCAACTCTCTCTCTCCCAATTCCCTTCGGTCTTACCCAATTCGCATCGAGGCCCATTGAGTTTTAGGCCAAGCGACAGCGGTGTTGTCAGTGTGGCAATGTGTGAATGGTTCAAGTTCTGATTGTTGCCAAACGTACCATAGTACAGTTGCGCTCAAATCTAGCTTAGAGATCAAGTATTCAATAGAACAAGTAAACAATAGACTCCAGTAACAGTAACGTTAACAGTACCAGTAACAGTACTAGTAACATTAACAGTAACAGTAACAGTACCATTAGACCAAGTACTTTACTCAACCTGAAGTTGCCCCTACAGAGAATACAATCCGAGTTTTAGCTTAAGGATTTTATCAAACAATATATTACACTTTATTCAATTAATAATCTAAAAAAAAAGAGTATTTAAGAGATATGCTACGTTTTGTTTTCTTTGTAAATACAACATAGAACGACTTAATAATGGTGCACCGAATTAATTATGAAAATTTTTACTTTGAGACTAAGTTTCATTTATCTATCTTAAGCATTCATCAATCAAAGTTTCGTTAGTTTGACATCACTTGTAAGTAAGCTTAACGCGTTCCAACGTGCGGTCTCATTATCCACTCTCGATTTGCTCTTATCTCTACCCGCACTCTCAGCGACATATACTACATACTTACTCGTACAGCAGCTGGTAGTTGATTAATTTTGAAAAAAAAAAATAACAGTTGCCTTTCTTCGTTTGTCTTTCTTTTTTTCTGTTTTTTTTTCCTTCTTTTGAATACAAACTCGAAACAGATGCATGCAGTTTAACTATTTTTTGTATACATATACTATATATTTGAATTTTCAATTTACCTTTGATTTGGTAACAAGCCACAACAACAACAACAACAACAACTCGTAGACACCGACACTGACACCGACACCTGACAAAAAAGAAAATTATAAAATTGAAAAACTAAAGTTCATTAGGAAGACAGCGACAGGGATCATGCATATATATGTTATATATAGTAATAATGATAATCAAATTGGTCCCCATATACAAGGTATTCGCTTTTTATTACTGCATGCTTTAATGCTGGCTGCCGCAAATTTGATTTGAAAATAATTTAACCCAACCGCTTTAAGGTTCATACTCAGATAAGCAACTTAATTTAGTGTAACCATAAGTAAGAGCCTCCTTTGGTGTGACTGCCTGACCTCGATTCGTGCCCGTGAAGCAGAGGAAGTTATTTATCTGTAAACCTGTTGCTCAACCACACACACACACCTCTTAAGTCTTAAGAATCTTGATTTTGCTCAACAAACTTGTTAATTTCTTGCTGTATTCGTATGTGTGGCATATACATATATATATTTTAGGCAATGTTTGCCAGCAGTATACCGGAAATAATTGAACTCGTTGGTAGTGGCAATAAATATGGCGGTGAACTGAAAAGAGAACACGGAAAGAGGTAGTCTATAACATTCAAATATTCAATAATAAACGACATAAAAACATCACATTTAATCAAGAACAAGAACTGAGAATCATAAAATTGAAATGGATAATACTATAAAAAATCAATCAAACACAAATATCGATCAATTAATATCAAGTTGAAGATGCACCGAATAATTTGCATTTATTTTTAAAGAGTAGATCACAGATCTACATATATAAAGCATATGCTGGAAAACCTTAGTTCGAGCTTTAGCTTTGCCTCTCCAGCAGCTCAATTCCAAAACTTGAATTAAAGTCACATGAGGGCTATGAATGTGCTTAGCACTCGTGTTAGGAACACAACAACAACAAAAACAA